CTTATCCCCTTCTGACGAGTCTCGAAAAACACAAATTCGCCCTAACTACAGTGCGTAAGTTCTTTCAGCGAGTTCTGAACCAGTTTCAATGTCCGAGCGTTCAAAGCTGCTTAGACTGATCAATAACTGTGATAAGCCAGATCAATTCATTTTATTAAAATTCGGGTATTTCAAACTTTATATGAATATCGTGACGGAGGACAACCCAGCAGCTTAGAGCACGTTACCTAAAGTTTACTGAAGCTCTTAAGCTAGCCTGCAATGCAGCAAGGGGATAAATAACACACTGTGGACAAGGTTACTGATGCCTATTGATTTCTTATCATCTGGCCGCCTTCATTTTTATTGTGCGTTGTAAAGGAAGTACACTTTCTCTTCAAGGTCGCTTCCATCGCAAAACAGATCAATTCAATGAGGTTGATTCCTCTTTATATATATAACTGAGGACATAGAATAACCTTTCATTGCAGATTAGATATGCCTCTTTGTTACCAGTCCAATTACCATAGTTTCAAACCTTAGGTCATCAGGGTTTCCACATATGTATGTATATTGTTCGTAAGCCAGCGTAGGTTATTTTGTGTGGAACTAAGTAACAATTATATGTACAACACATTGAAAGATCGTATGTTGAAGCATTTCTGTTATGTTTTACTTGTATATTATTCAATTTAATACCAATACAATCTTCATAACTGTGTTATGAAACATTGGCCTATGGCGATGTGTTTCGACATGAATTATGCCAAAGATCAGGTCATTTTTCTGTGTTCTAAAGCTACATTGTACGCAGAGAAAAGTGGCCTGGTGATGACGTCAGAAATTGAACGTTGTTTGTAATCCTGTGGTTTACTTAAGGTTACAAAAAAGGTGCTTGTAACGCTTGACCTCTGTTGACCTCCTAAGACACCTGTAGATGGAAACTGTAGAAACGAAGGATCATGAATATGTAAAGCATGCAACAGTGTTATCACATCGACTCATGAAATGCTGGTGCCTTCCGTGTAAATTTCATAGAGCTTTCGCTTTCATAAAGAGAAACGAATGTAGCGTTTATATGCATTGGGTCTGTTTAAGAATTTCAAGGACAAAAATTAAGCTAATGTTGATCGGACTCCATGGACCAGAGCCTGTCTTTAGAAGATAATAGTCGCTCAGCTGAAGGTCCGCTACTGCTCATATCCCGATAAAGACGAGTGTAGTCCCCACCCTCGTATGTATTTACTTAAGGAACGTATTAATATTATCCCCCCATCAGTGACTGGGTCTACCAAATGGTCTCTTTTCTTCAGATTTTCCGACTATAATTCTGTGTGCATTTCTTATTTTTGTAATGTGTATAACGTGGATATGCGACCATATTTCTTTTGTTATGTTTTTATTTATTCATTCTTTGGTTTTGTTCTTCCCTTCATTTTTTGTATTTTAGTAATAAAACGTAATTATTCTGCATTGCATTGTCTGACCATACCGAAAAAGGTAATAGAAGAAATTTCGAACCTTTTTTTTTAAACAGCTTTGAATTCGGGAATAACCAAGTACATAACTTCACAGAGGATAAGCTAACCTGGCTGAGATTTTTCGTGATTGTCCTCAGTCTCTGCCGGGGTTACCAGCATAATATATTGGCATGTATTTTCAAATTTACATGTCATGCCTTTAGACGCTATATAACCTAGGCAGTTGAGAAAGTGTCGTTGAATGAAACATGAATAAATAAAGTATCAGGGATGACGAACCTTTTCGTTTTCTGAGCACAAATTAAAATCAAAGGCTACTTGTCAGTAAGACGTGTCAGCCATCTTAGTTGCTCAAATATTGATTGATAAGCATTTAATGAGATAAGCTTATCTAGTATTGAGCATTTTTAGGCTTTTATTAAAATTATTGACTTGTTTGTGGTTGTTTTAGAACGAAACAACTAGAACACGTATCATTTACCTGACAGTCTCTTAAATTTAATTTTATGTATTTCATAGACAATTGTAATTAGTAAGTAGTTTATTTTCTTATAGTTTATATGGGTTATGCTAATTTTAGTTGCACAAATAAACTTCTGGGTATCTTCCGCAACAGAATATAGCTTTTTATGTTTTGAATTGTAACATAAAACCTGTAATCACAACTGTCACGCGAAATTTCAGTCTATGCCAAACGCACTGTATTAAGTCCACAGTCCCTGACAAAAATGTCGAACAGAAATAAAAGTTACGTATGGACAGTGACGTTTTCAAGTTGACGTTGATCACAGTTCAGACTAAAATGAAAGAGATAACTTCTATGAAGTCACGAATAATACAAAATTGCGTTTATTCCAGTAAATTTAAAAACGTCATAACAAAATGAAATTTGATATTTGTACATAAGGAAGTCCGGAATCGGCGAACGTTGCTGGGATGAAGGTATCCGCCTACAGTTTTATCTCTGTGCTCATGCGCAGCTAACTAACTAACTAACTAGATGGCTTACCGAACCCGAAGGTTCATCACCGAATTAACCAAAGCCCTCCACCGGACCCTGTCCTGGGCCAACAAAATCCAGTTTCCTTCAACTCCTATCTCCCATAGATCCCGCCTGAGATTATCCTCCCATCTACGTCTAGATCTCCCCAGCGGTCTCTTCCCTTCAGGCTTCCCGAACAATACCCGGTGCACACCTCTTGTCCCATCCATGCACGCTACATGTCCCGCCCATCTCACTCTTCTCGACTTAATCACCCTCACAATACTGGGGGAGCAGTACAGATTTTAAGCTAGTCATTGTGCAGTTTTCTCCACGCCCCACCGTCTTCCCTCTTAGGCCCAAATATCCCCCTCAAC